TAAGAAGTCAGTGAATATTGTATTATGCATGAAAAGTCCAGAGTTGTACTGACATCTTATGTTATGTTATGGAAACAGATTTTTAACAGGACCAGCAAATCTGAAAGATCCAGATGCAAAATTCAGATTTCCCAGGATATTTGTGAACACAGAGGACAGTTACAAGGAGCTACATTTGATTGTTTACAAGGTGAGAGAAAGAGTAAATGTCAGTGTTATTCTTTATGCATTTTAATCTATAAGCTTAAAATGATATTGAGTAATTACCTAACATTCGTGTTTTTAATTATTTATTATAAATAAAATGAATAAAGTATATTGTTAATAATAATTCTCATTTTTATTATTTAAAGGTGACATATTATGCCCCTTTTTACAATATGTAATATAAGTCTCTGGTGTCCCCAGAATGTGTCTGTGAAGTTTCAGCTCAAAATACTCCACAGATCATTTATTATATAATTTTGAAAATGGCTATTTTGAGTGGAAACAGAAATAAGCTGTTTTTCGGGCCTGTGTCTTTAAATGCAAATGAGCTGCTGTGGTACACCGTTGTCGCTTGCGAAATCAAAATGATGGTGCCTTGAGTGGAAGTTTACAGATTAAGGGGCGGTAATATTATAATGAGATCCCTTTGCCACGTCACCAAGGGAGCGAAATCAGACACGCTCGTTTTCTCAAAGGCTTGCAGAAAAAGGCTTACCAAAACAAAGTGATTGGGTTAATCTTTTTCACGTTTTCTTGGTTGGTAGATGCACCAGGGACCGGATTATAACACGTAAAACCTGGAAAAGTCAGATTTTCATATGTCACCTTTAATTTAGTACATATGGGCAAATGGAAACTAACACTAATTCAAACAAGATACAACATTTGCTTATTTCTTTAGTTGTTCATTCTTATAAGGTGATGCATGTGATTTGAAGTTAAAATACTTAAATATAACAACAGTGGCTCCAAAGTTGTGGGTTTTCTTTGAGAATCTGTTGAACAATAAGTGTTCAGTTATGGTTAATAATTTTGTTTCTAAACAAATCAAAGTTGATTTTTGATTGAAATAAAGCATATGTGCTAATTTCATATTTTACATAAATGTTGTTCCTTATCCAGGCAATGAGTGCAGCTGTATGCTTCATGGTAAATGGTAAGTGTCCGCATTTAAAGGGGTCATATGATGTTGCTAAAAATAACATTATTTTGTGTATTTGGTGTAATGAAATGTGTTTATGCAGTTTAAGGTTCAAAAAACACATTATTTTCCACATACTGTACATTATTGTTTCTCCTCTATGCCCCGCCTTTCTAAAACACGTCGATTTTTACAAAGCTCATCGGTCTGAAAAGCGAGGTGTGCTGTGATTGGCCAGCTATCCAGTGTGTTATGATTGGCCGAATACCTCAAGCGTGTGACGGAAC